GGGGCGGCCGCCGGGTTGGGGGGCCCGCTGCCACAGCTCCTCCGTCAGGTAGGGCATGAAGGGCGAAAGGAGGCGCAGGCCGAGGTCGGCGCAGCTCAGCAGGGTGTGGCGGGTCTGCAGGATCCGGGACTGATCCCCGCCCTGCAATACGGGCTTCACCGACTCCTGCCAAGGGAGGGAGAGGCCTCTACATCAAACCATGGGACGCCCACCTCTTGAATAACCGTGTGCCGATGTGGTCGTCTCATCTCACAAAAGGTCTCTTGGGATTGGAAAAGGTTCAGAAAAGGGCAACAAAAATGACGAGGGGTTTGGAACGGGTCCCACGTGAAGAGAAAATAAAAAGACTTGGACTCTTCAGCTTAGAAAAGAGGAGACTAAGTGGGGATAGGATAGAGATCAATTAAATCATGTCTGGTGTGGAAAAGGGGAATAAGGAAAAGTTATTCACTTGTTCCCATATCACAAGAATTAGGAGTCAACCAAATGGAATGACTAAGCAGCAGGTTTCAAACAAAGAAAAGGAAGTATTTCTTCATACAATGCACCATCAACCTGTGGAACTCCTTGCCAGAGGATGTTGTGAAGACTGGATTTTCACAGGGTTCAAAAAAGAACTAGATACATTCATGGAGGTTAGGTCCATCGATGGCTATTAGCCAGAATGGGTAGGAATGGTGTCCCTAGCTTCTGTCACAGGCTTGGCATGGGTGACTAGAGAGGGATTGCTTGAAGATTCCCTGTTCTGTTCACTCCCTCTGGAGCACCTGGCATTGGCTACTGTCAGCAGACAGGACTCTGGGCTGGATGGACCCGTGGTCTGACCCAGTCTGGCCGTTCTTATGTTCTTATATACCATGCTGTGGGAGCCTAACAGATGCCCAGCTTAGGTAGTGGGGTGGACAGGTTGGGTTGGATGGATGGGTTACATTGGGCTGGGTGGAATTGGATGGACAGCTGCAGAGATTGGGTTGGCTGGGTAAGATGGATTGTTCTGTTAGATGAATCATGTGGGTATGTCGAGCACATAGAATTGATAGACAGCTGGGTCAGACAGGTGTTTGGATCCCCTCGGTTGGACAGGATGGGCAACTGGATGGATATAATGGGTTTGAGGGGTGGCTGGATAGATACGATGGGTAGGACTGGGGTGATCTTGGATACAATGGATTGGCTAGACAGTTGGATGGGTTCAACTGGTACTTGGATAAATACATACAATGTTTTTGATTCGCAGTTGGACGGGTTGGATGGATATGATGGGCTGGGTGGATAGGACGGGTTGGATACCAAAGGTTTCGACAGGCAGTTGGATGGATACGTTGGGCTGGGCTTGGGTAGGATGGGTTTGACTAATGGTTGGATGGATGGGTTGGGTTGGGTTGGTTGGATGGATACGTTGGGTTGGGTTGGTTGGGTTGGGTTGGTTGGATGGATAGATACGTAGGGTTGGGTTGGGTTGGGTTGGTTGGATGGATACATTGGGCTGGGCTTGAATACAGTGAGTTGGATGGATACAGTGGATTCAACTGGTGGTTAGATGGGTGCTTTGGGTTGGATGGGTGGTTGAATGCCATGGATTGGGCTGGGTTAAACACAATGACTACATTTACACTGGCATGATTTTCCGGAAATGCTTTTAATGGAAAAGTTTTCCGTTAAAAGCATTTTCGGAAAAGCGCGTCTAGATTGGCAGGACGCTTTTCCGGAAAAGCACTTTTTGCGGAGAAGCGTCTGTGCCAATCTAGACACACTTTTCCGCAAAAAAGCCCCGATCGTCATTTTCGCGATCGGGGCTTTTTTGCGGAAAACACTACTGTGCTGTC